ACCTGGGGATCTGATTCAGTTAGTCTAGGGTGAAGCCTGAGCTTTGCATTTCTAGCATACTCTAAGGTGATACAGATGCTGCTGGCGGAGGACCAAACTTTGAGTAGCAAATTTCTAGGTAAGAAGTGATAAATTATGGTAGTGAAGGTACAAATAGAAAGGAATGTGAAAAACAAAAACAAGAGTTCAGCCAGGACATGGTGACTAACTGGGCTTGTGGAGGGAAAAGATGAGGTCAAAGATGACTGATTTGGGCTGTGATATACCTGGAGAATTATAGCTCTATTAACAGAAATAAAAGAAGTCGACTTAGAGAGAAGGCAGAAGAGTCCTGTTTTAGACATGATGAGCTTCTCGTTGAGGTGGGATAGCCAGAGGAAATGAGCAGTAGGCAACTGAAGAGGAGATTGGTTCTCAGGAGGAAGGTGTATGTTAGAGATGTAGATTTGAGGGTAACTGATGCATGGAGTTTGTAGTTAAAGACGAGAGAGTGGATAATCAAAAGAGCAAACACAAAGAGAAAAGAACTGATGGTAGAACTTTTGCTTTTGGGGGTGAGAAGAGGAACAGGACAGCAAGGGGCAGAGGGAAGCAGCTTTTACGAATATAGAAGATCCAGAAAAATGCATTTTTATGGAAGTCAAGGCAAGAGACAGTTTCAAGGAGGGCATGGTTGAGAGTGTCACAAAGTTGAAAATCATATTTGATAGCAAGGACTTTGTGGGTTTGTGAGGGGTACACTAATAAACAGAGGAATTTATTAGGGCTATATGGAAGCACAAAGGAAGAAGTTATCCAATCAAAGCAGATAGGACTAGGGATGAGTTCCCCACAGTAGAGGCAGCAGTGAAAATGCTGGGATGCCAGGGAGGGTATGGTATATTCCAAGAACTGAAGATAACTCAGGAGTTAAGCCTGGATTAGAATGAACAGAGTTGAGGGTGGTTAGAGCTGAGACTTGAAAGGTAAGTAGGAGCCAGAGCATGAAGGGCCCAGCTATGTCATGCTATTCCATGTGAGGAGCCATTCAATCATTTTAATAGGAGGTGATAAATTCAGATTTCCTTTTTGTAGAGCTCACTCTGATGACACTGTGGTGAATAGATTGGAAGGTGAGCAATACTGTTTTTTTTGAAATATTATAGTCCCCTGACCTCACTCTTCCCTTGTGTTTTCTCTACTCCCACCCCATACTGTCATTTCCTCCAGTCATTCTCTAAATGCTGGTGTCCATTAGGGTTCCGACCTTGACAGTGAGGCTCATGAGGACAACAGTGGTGCAGATGTGAATTGATGGTGGAGGAAACTGGATATATGTGCAATTAATTACTTAGCCAGAATTAATGGGAGGTGGAAGAGTCAGCAAATCCTTTTTCTAACTTTAAGTAATTAGGTGGATGATAGTGCCATTCACTGAAACAGAGAAATGGGAAAATCGATTTTGGAGGGATACAGTGGGTTAAGTTTTGGCATACTGAGCTTGAGGTGATTATGGGATGTCCAGGTGAACTTCAGACTATAGGGGTCTAACAGTTCAGGAAAGAGATCTGAGGTGGAGCTAAAGACTTTTAAATAATCAGAATACAGTTGTTAATTGAAGCAATGTTAGTGGATAAGATGGCTATGGGAGCACGTAAAGTGATAATAGAAGGTCAAGGATGGAACCCTAAGGAATATCAATATATTAGACATCAGTAGAGAAAGTGGAACCTATAAAAAGAACAGTCAGAGAAGTAGGAGAAAAATTAAGAGATTGTGGCACCAAAGTGGGGAGAGAGCTTCAGGAAGGAAGACGGTCAACAAAGCCAGATGCTGCAAAGAGAAGAAGTGAAAGGTATCCATTGGATTTTCGTAGCAAAAGACATTGGTGACCACAGTAAAAACATTATGAATAAAGTGATCGTAGCAGAAGCCATTTTGTAGGGGGATGAATTTCACACTTCAGAGGAAAAACAATTCCATATGATGGCAAGGCCCAGTGTGTGACCATGGGGAGTGAGGGGCTAAAGTGTGTTGGAGAAGCAGATCGTCGGAGTGTGGAGGGTGACTGGACATGTTCACATGGGCACTGATGTTAGGGAAGCAACAGCTGGGATCCGGGTGCCCAAGTCTTGAGTGAATGATGGAGAACGGTGGGGAGTCATGTGGATGACAGTGAGAAGAGGGATAGAAGAAGATGTGGCTCAATGGCATGAAAATCCAAACAACAAGGGTTTTTACTTGAGGATGGAGAAGCAATGGTTTTGAAGTGGTATTGGGAAGTCACCCAGTACCCCACCTCGCAGTAATCAAAGGTATGAGCAAGTTGTAGAAGAACTAACATCCACTTGAGAATGCTGTAGGGAAGCAGTGAACTCAAGGTCTAATTTAAGCCAAAGGAGACAGAAGGAAGTTCATCAGAGGGGGGGTTTTAGGAAGTTTTAAAACCAGTATTGAGGAGTGAACAGTGAAAAGGTTTGGGGGAGAGAGGGACGATGGATGCTGGGTTAAATGAGAGGAAGCAGAGAGCAGTATGAAGATGAGCTTTAGGGAGGAAAAAGGAATAGTCAGAGAGGCTTATATTTTAGTGACCACAGAAGACAGGATGGGAATCATAGTGAGATTAGCCTGTGTCAGATTTCTAATAGAACAAATCCCAGGAATTCCCTCGTGAGTGGAAGGACTCGGGCTTCCCTGGAAGAGTTGGCTGACTGATCTGATTGTGTTTTTGTGGGACTCCTAGCCCAGATGGTACTAGCCCAATGGAATTATTTTGTTCCCAAGAGCCTCATTGTGTTGGAAACAGGACTAACCCCTGGGCTATAGGAAACCCCTCTGGAAAGAGTCACGATGTGGATGGTGACTGAGAAAACACCATCAGATTGGGTCGTATTACTGGTGAAGTTTTGGCAGTGGGAAAGGAGGAATACAGGTTTTAAGGGATTAGAGAGTAAGTGGGTGGTGAGGTTACTCAGCACACACTGCAGTTTTGACAAGTGTGGCTATGAAATCCCACACCTTAAGACTGCAGTGTTTTGCCATTTACAAATGCTTGTAGACATGCGGAGCCAGGGAGGAAAGGAGCTAAAGAGCAAGAAGGTGAGCGGCGGGTGTGTTACTAATCAGTGAGACAGTCTGTGCTTGGGACGTGGAAGGGATTTCAGGCTGGCCCACTATGAAGCTCTGTCTCTGACTCAGCTAGCCAATTCTCTCCTTCCCTGTCAGGTTTTAATTTTCTAACTTTTCTCCGGTTTCTCAGGATGGTGTCATGGTGTCAGGCAGGTCTGAATTTGAGACCTGGCCCTGACTCTTTTTAGACATGTTTTTAATGTTTCCCTGAGCCTTATTTTTCTTAGATATAAATCAAGGACAAGCATATCTTCCTCACAGGGTTGTTTTGAGGATTACAAAAGGTCCTGGGTATTCAGTACATGTTCTTTTCCCTCCCTTCCTTCTGTCTCTGTCCCTTGCTGGTCACCATCTCTCTGTCTTCTGTCTCTCACCTGTCTTCATCTCCCTCTTTCCTTACTACTATCACATTGAAAAACATATTTTTAAGCACCTACTATGGCATCTTATCTTTTACCTGGAATTTAAGTTGGTCCTTTTTACTGTCTTTTCCATGAACATTTATGTTTATAACCGATCGGAGGGTTGAAATGTCATTATGGGACTTTTGTGCTTTGGCAGCTGAGTGATGTGATGAACGGTAAAATGAATAATACAGTGTGTGTGTTTGAAGCACCAGGAAGAGAAAGAATTGGGATGAGGAAGACTCATAGAACCAGCGAACATTTGAAGTAGGAGCCTCAAGAAAATGTTAACATTCTTAAACGGCTTGGGGTCCCTGATATGGGAACTGCATGGAGCCCATGCAGCCACAGCTGTGCAGTGGGAGGTAAACTCCCCAGGATCCTGCTTTGGTCAGACCATGGCACTCATCAACTTGATTCCTATGTGTCCAAGTCATTGTTAGGTCATTGCAGGTTCGAGCATCTCTGAAGTTCCTAGTTTCCAAGATGTGATGGAAAAAGTGGATTTATCCGCATGGCTCTGCATCTACTATTTTGCCCGTGTCCCAGGAATGCTGGGGCTGGCCTTGTCTTTTCAAAACTGCCAGAACATGTTCTCAGTTGGCATAGGTCTTTGTAAACACTGATGTTGGTATTTGAATTCTCAGTTGCCAGTGGCACTGGAAAATAGCAAAAGACACTTGGAATACTAGCATTCTTTTTTTTTTTTTCCCTTAAGCTTGTGTTTTGGTGGGAACCTAATAATGTCTTTCGTTTCTCTGCCTTGTAACCACAAGCAACATTTTAAAATTTAGGCCTAGAATGTATTTCTCCTTTTGTTCCCCCCGCCCCCTTTTTTCTTCTCTATACTATTTATTCCTTACTCTCTTTTCATTTTTTTTTTGGTCTAATTTATTTTGGTATATTTTCCCTCTGAATCTCTACTGTATATTTCCCTTGTTTTCACTTTGAACTTAATACTTTAAAAATTCGTTTAAAAAGATAATGGTTCCTTTATTTCCTAATACCATCTAAGGATATGTTTCCCAGTCTGGTCTCCCTGTGTTCTGTTTTTAAAAGGGTTTTATATCAGAGAGCCTGGAAAACTTAAGCAGTTGTAAATGTTAGAATATCATTTCCAGGTCAACTTTGATCTTATATGCCAAGTTCATCAGTGGGAAAAAAATTAAATCTTTCACATCTAAATCAATAACTAGTGTTCCAACGGAAACTTCAAAGTTTCACTTTAGATTTTTAAGGAAAGGTAATTCCTTCAGTGTCAAAGAAATGAGATGTCAGGAAAAGCCAGGATCCCTTTGTTTAGGACATGGTCTACTTACTTGACTTTCCTTGTCCTTTTTTTCCCATTCGAATGCAAAATCTTCAATTATTTTTCGTCTCTCAAGAGACCCTTTTACTATATTCTTTCAGATGACTGTTTTTGATTTAGAGGAGAAATCAACACATGGTGGCTCAAATCTGCTTAGATAAGGTGTTCATTCCTTCCAGCTTTTCATGTTTCAACTTTTGCGGGGCCTGGCGTACATCCACCACCAACACGTCCTCCACAGGGACCTGAAACCTCAGAACTTACTCATCAGTCACCTGGGAGAACTCAAAGTGGCTGATTTTGGTAAGTCGTCTCCCGAGTCTCTTCCTGGGCTATGAACAATGATGCTTTTGTGTGCACATGTTTAAAGCGTCAACTAGGGCTGGCTTTTGAAAAGTGGGAACCGGGGAACATGATGCTTTGTCAGGATTTCAAACAACCATATAGGAAGATTGAGGCAAGAAATAGGACGAGATTGGTAACTTCTTAGGGTTCCATCAAGCCTCAGTCTAATCAGATCCTAAAACTTGGTTACCCCTACTACCTCACTGCCATTTTTGATGTAAAGACTTTTGTAGAGTGAACGTACTTGGTAGGTTTACCTAAATCTAGGTGGATGTACAAATTCCATCAGACTAGATCAAAGTTATCCCAGGATGACAGGATAAAGAGGTTAAGCCCAGATTGTAGGATGGACTCCTTCTGGAATGGAGGCTCCAGGGCGCCTGTTCCTGCTCACCTATGTATCTATATAGTGGGACTGTATGGGTACCTGAGGCTTTTATTCTCATCAAAGTGATGCAGATTTCCCCTGAGTATCACTGTGTCTTTCCATTTTAGCACGTATCACAGTTTATAATTATACATATATACACACATATATACTTCTGTGATGATTTTGTCTCCTCCACTAGACTATAAGCATTATGAGGGCAGCCTGGATCCGTTTTTGCTTATCATTATATCCCTAGTGCCTGGCACCATAGCAGGTGCTCAATAAATTTTTGTTGAAAAACTGGTTCTGTATAAGCTGAGGAACCACTCTTCTCTGTTTGGCAGATGTCAAATGATGCTACTATAGCTGCAGTAAGCCTTTAACAGACATTCATTTATCAAATTCCCTACAACAGTGAACTCATCTATTCAGGGTTTTTTCTAGCTATAGATCATGTGATCCAGTGAGATAAATAGCTAACTGATGAAAGTACTCTGACTTTGTAGAGGAGCACTTGAGAATGATCCAGCTAAGGTCCTGCCAAATAAGTAATGTGGATCAACAGCCCTCACCCTGTATCTACTAAACTGGGAATTCCTGGACTGCAGAAATGGAGGGTGGCCCTAGTAGTAGTGAATCGATTTTCCATTGCTGTTACAGAAAGCCCAAATTACAGAGGTGTATACATGCTCGAAGCTTCACGTTCTCTCATGTAACAGTCTGACCTAAGCAGTCAGAGCTCTGTAGTGGCCCCATGGTGTATTGGTCCACCCTCCTTCTGTCATGAGGCCCCACCACCCCTAGGTATTGCCCCACGGCCTATTTCAAGATGGCAGCCACTACAGCCTGGAGGAAGGAGAAAAGAGACCAACACTTAACCCCTCCATGAAGCTCACACATCACTTCTATTCATATCAAATAGGCAAAAATTTAGTTGCCTTGCTACACTTAGCTGCCAGGAAGCCCACATCTAGCTGCAAAGTAGGCCAAATTTTGAGAAATTCATTTGATGAAGAGGTACGTAAGAATCAAGATAGTTGAGTAGCTCTATTAAAAGCACCAAAGTTTGTGTATTATTTTTTAAATGTTGTTTACTCTGCCAATTATACTCTCCTTGGCAGACTGTATCACTGTGGCTCTCCAGAAGGTCTCCGGACAGTGAGTTCTGTGCTTTCCCCCTTCGGTCAGGTCTTGCTCGGGCCAAGTCCATTCCCAGCCAGACATACTCTTCAGAAGTTGTGACTCTCTGGTACCGCCCTCCTGATGCCTTGCTGGGAGCCACTGAATATTCCTCTGAACTGGACATATGGTAAGAGCTAGTGCCAAGAAAATGTGAGTCATCCTACCCGTGAAGGTTGTTTTATTACCTGTATTACATTTTAGATAATCATTCTAATAATGACAATCACATTTGTATACAGAAATATAAAGTACTTTCAAATATATATCTCATTTGATTTTTACAATGCCCCTCCTTCTAGCTCTTCTCTTCAATCCTTTGTCTTCTCCCTTGTCCTCAGGGAAACATACATATACTCCCAAACCACAGATACACACACACACACACACACACACACACACACACACACACACACACACACACGTCTGCACATGCCCAAACACCTTTCAGAGCCTGGTGAAAAAACCATAAATACCGAGACTCGGTAGACCTGATTTTCATGCCAATATTTCTAATCAGTTACTCTGCATTACGTTATCTTCAAAAAAGCCATGTATCCTCTTTGTGTCTATGCTTCTTTGTTTTTAAAATAAGGGTAATAAACTCTCCCCATGAGGGGTTAAGGGGGACTGTAGTGCAAATGTAAGAACCAGATAGAGGCTATCAAGTAGAGCCACACTGTTGGAGAGGCTCTTGGATTAAGTGGGTGCAGTGGTGAGAATGGGCTGTCAGCCACTCATCATCCTGGAGCAGTGGTGTTATGTAATCTGGCTCTGATCCCTGGAAATATCCCAGTCATTTGTGTGGTAAATTTGCAGTCACAGCCACCTCCTCAAAGGTAACAAAATGTATGGGCTTCCTTCAACTCCTTAGATGGTCTTATATAAATAGAAGGCCCTGTTTAAAAAAAAAACAACACTAAAAGGCTAAACTAAGCTTTTGAATTTCCCAAAGAATTGAGAAAACTTGAAGAGAATTTCCTTCAGTGTATCTGGAGCCATTGATTTCCTGATACCCAGTCGCACTTCTTGAAATATCACCTGCTAGTCAAACCCCCCTGAAACTGTCAGCTCTCACTGCTCTGCACTGTCACTTCAAAGGCCTTCAGCAGGCTCTGGCTTTCTCAGCTCTTAATGATCACTTCCTAGTTGTGCTTCACAGACAGTGAAACTTCTTCTCGTCACTTTTAAACTTTGTTTTATTATAGAACATTTAAAACATTCAAAATATATAAATATGTACATCAGTGATTCTTAACCAGGATCAATTTTGCTTCCCAGGGACCTTGCAGTGTTTGGAGACATTTATTGTCACAGCTGGGTGGTGGTGGGGTGCTGCTGGCATCTAGTGGGTAGAGGCCAAGGATGCTACTAAATATCTTATAATGCACAGGACAGCCCCCTATGGCAAAGATGTAACCAGCCCAAAATGTCAATTGTGTCAAGATTGAGAAAACTGATGTAGATTAAAAGCATAGTAAAGTGAACTCCATGAGCCCACTACCCGATGTAACAACCAGAAACATCATCAGTACTGTCACATCCACTCGTGTCCCTTTCCCATCAGCCTGCCCCTCCACCAGAGGGGCTTCTACCCTGAATTTTTTTCCTCGTCATCATCCCCTTACCCTTTTAAAAAATAATATTTCTACATTTTTATATATTTTAAAAATATTATTTTATTTTACTTGCTTTTGAGTTTTTATAAAAATGATATTACATTGTTTTTAGTCTTCTGTGACTTGTTTTTTTTTAACTCAGTGTGTTTCTGAGATTCATCCATGTTGATCTATGTGGCTACACTTTATTTTCTGTTGATGAACATTTCAGTTATTTAGTTTGCCTTTTGTTTTATTTCTTTTTGCTATTTTGAATATACTTGGTACTTATATTTAAGGATATGTCTAGAGTACTTACTTAAGAGTAGATTTGCTGTGTCACAGCGTATATGAATGTTCAACTTCATGAAATAGTGTCAAATTGTTCTCCAAGTGGTTGTAACAATTTATGCACTAGCAGTGTATCATAGTCCCTTATCCACATCCGCACTAACTTCATAAAATCAGATTTCTTAATTTTTGCTAAGTTAGTGGGTAGAATGGTAGCATGTTGTGATCAAATTTGCATTTCCCTAATTGGTAATGAGGCTGGATGTCTTTTCATGGATTATTTGCCATTTGTGTTTTTTCTCCTATGAAATACTTCTGTGTGTCTTTTGTTTATTTTCTTTTGGTCTCTATGTTTCTGTGTCTCTCCTTTTCTCTCCCTTCCTCCCTTTCTTTCTTTATTGATTTATAGGAGTTCTTATACTCTGGATACTAATCTTTTATCAGTTATGAGTGCTACAAGCAGGCTCCCCAGTTCATGGCTTATGTTTTCATATCTTTATGTTGTCTTTTTAAACAAAAGTTCTTAATTTTAATGCTGCTGACTTTGTCAGTCTTTTCCTCTATGGTTAGCCCTTTTATTTCTTGTTTAAAACAGTCCTTCCCTCCTTGAGGTCAAAATGATATCCAGTACATTCTTTTAAAAGTTGTAGGGCTTCCCTGGTGGCGCAGTGGTTGAGAGTCCGCCTGGCGATGTAGGGGACACGGGTTTGTGCCCCGGTCCGGGAAGATCCCGCATGCCGCAGAGCAGCTAGGCCCGTGAGCCATGGCCGCTGATCCTGCACATCCGGAGCCTCTGCTCCGCAACGGGAAAGGCCACAACAGTGAGAGGCCCGCGTACCGAAAAAAAAAAAAAAAAGTTGTAAAATTTTTCCTTTCGCTTTAAATCCTTAATACATTGGAAATTGACTTTTTTATGCTAACCCAGTGGTCTCACCCTAATTTCTTCAGCAATCTGCATGCCGAATCTCTCATATATCAGGTTTCTATAAATGCATAGGTCTGTTTTGAGCTCTCTACTCTGTTCTACTGGGGTCAATTTATCTGTCCCTGTACCAACATCCTACTGTATTAATTTCTATAGCATTATAATAATACTTGATATCTGCTAGGATAAGTCTCACCACTTACTTCATCTTCTTCCTCAGGAGTATCTTGCCTATTTTTCCTGTTTGATTCTCCATATAAATTTTACACTCAGTCTTTCAAGTTTCATGAAAAACCCTAGTGGTATTTTCATTGGAATTGCATTGAAATTATAGAACACTTTGAGGATAATTAACACCTTTGTAATATCCTCTTCCAATTTTTAAACACGGTATAATTCTCCATCTGTTTAGCTCATTTTTAATGCCATTTAGTAAAGTTTTATAATTTCCTCTCTAAGCTCTTATATATCTAGAGCAAAGGTCCTTCCTTGTAAGTCTGTTTCTGTTGTTTATTGTTTCTTTTGTTTCTTCCATATGGTATCTTTTCTCCATGTGTGTTTTGTTGTTTTTGACAATGATATGCTAATTATCCTTGGAATTTTAATTGTGGGATTTTTTTTTTTTGAGGGCTCGGATGAAGTGTGGTCTCTCAGAGAGGATTCACATTTGATTCTTCTAGGTACATTTTTTAAAAAAGAAATATATTATTGTATTTTACATAAGTGTTGATCTGCTACCCAGATATTGCTTTCTTAATGCCATTCCCTACTGAAAAGAACTAGGCCTTTTTGGAGAAGTAGCCAGTACTGAGGCTGGGTCAGGGAAAGTATAAGATGAGCTGGGAACATCTTGTTAAGCCAGAACATTTTTTAACAAAGTGACCAAAAAATGATGGGAATATGTAAAAAAATGTGGGAAGCAGCTTGAAGAGACTCCCGCTGGCCAAAGCTGGTACCTCCTGAGCATCCTAATAGTGAGAGTAATGTAATGTATTATACCACTGAATAACATAAGAATACATAAGTCCATACTGAAGGTAAACAGATGGATGGATGGATGGATGGATGGATCAATAGATAGATAGGAAGGGAAGCTCCTTTATACAGTAGAATGCCAAATAATAACTGGAAAAGAAATGACAGAATTAGAAAATCACTATTTTGCAATATAGTAGTAATTGGTTCAAACAAGAAACATCATAGCTAAACTAGAGGAGAAGATTTGATGAGGAATAAAATATTTATTTACATAGTTTCAAAGTACCTCTCTACAAATTACTTGTTAATTACAAAAGAAAAAAATAGTAACTATAGTAGAGAGGCTTGGCAGACATCACCTTAATCAAGTGATTAGAGTTGATAATTGTTGATATTGTTGATAATGGCACTGACTGACATCGTGTGCCCCCTAATAGGACACACTGGAGAGACAGTATCATATACGTGGTTTTCCTGCAGAAAAAGAGCATAACCTGAGTCACATCATGAGGCAGCATCAGATCAACTCAGTCTAAGGAACATTCTACGATGTAACTAGACTGTACGCTTTAAAAGCGTTGTAGGGAAGGAAGAAGTTTCCTCTGTCCTCTGAGGTTCAATGGATGGGTCTGTGAAATAAACTGACAAAAGACAGATTAACAGGAGAAAAGCACACACATTTTATTTTGTGTTAAAAGTTTTATGTGACACAGGGGAAGTGACTTCATGGAAAGAAGAGACAATCCCCAAAGAAAGAGCTAGCCTTGGAGGCTTTTATACCATTCTTACAAAGGACAATACACTTGTAGAGAAGTAACGAGACAAAGGAAAGGGGTTTCTTTTATTATTATTATTTTATTCATTTGGCTGCGTCAGGTCTTAGTTGCAGCACACAGGATCTTCATTGTGGCGTGAGGGCTCTTCGTTGCGGTGCATGGGCTTCTCTCTAGTTGTAGCTCACGGACTCCAGATAGCATGGGCTCAGTAGTTGCAGTGTGTGGGCTCTCTAGTTGTGGCATGTGGGCTCTAGAGTGTGTGGGCTCAGTTACCCCCTGGCATGTGGGATCTTAATTTCCTGATCAGGGCACGAACCCATGTCCTCTGCATTGGAAGGCAGATTCTTAACCACTGGACCACCAGGGAAGTCCCGGAAAGGGGTTTCTGGACTCTTTAGGGGTGGTAATTGTGGAAGGTGAATATGTATATGGAGCACCCTGGTGGTAGATAAGGGTTACTTAGCAAGGTTTGTTTACGTAGATTCTTCTTGGTGCCATCTCTACATATGTTGATAAGGTTATTCTCCCCTCCTGGGATGGGAATGGGGGAATCTTCATAAGG